AATGAAATAAATTCCAGATTTTTTACCATCATCATCATCTGCAGCGTTGACATTAAATTTTGTGATTGATATTTTAAATTTTCAGCAGAAATAAAAGAAATAAATTACAGATTTTTTTACCATCATCATCCTCAGCGTTGACATTAAATTTTGCGATCGATATTTTAAATTTTCACATTAAATTTTGTGATCGATATTTTAAATTTTCAGTGGAAATAAATGAAATAAATGAAATAAATTCTGGATTTTTTACCATCATCATCCTCATCATCATCTGCAGCGTTGACATTAAATTTTGTGATCGATATTTGAAATTTTCAGCAGAAATAAATGAAATAAATGAAATAAATTCCAGATTTTTTTACCATCATCATCTGCAGTGTCAACATTAAATTTTGTGATGGATATTTGAAATTTTCGGCAGAAATAAATGAAATAACCTCATCATCATCTGCAGCATTGACATTAAATTTTGTGATTGATATTTTAAATTTTCACATTAAATTTTGTGATCGATATTTCAAATTTTTGGCGGAAATAAATGAAATAAATTCCAGATTTTTTACCATCATCATCCTCATCATCATCTGCAGCGTTGACATTCAATTTTCCGATTGATATTTTAAATTTTCACATTAAATTTTGTGATCGATATTTTAAATTTTCACATTAAATTTTGTGATCGATATTTTAAATTTCCAGCAGAAATAAATGAAATAAATGAAATAATTTCCAGATTTTTTACCATCATCATCCGCAGCGTTGACATTAAATTTTGTGATCGATATTTTAAATTTTCACATTAAATTTTGTGATCGATGTTTTAAATTTTCAGCGGAAATAAATGAAATAAATTCCAGATTTTTTACCATCATCATCCTCATCATCAAATTTTGTGATTGATATTTTAAATTTTCAGCAGAAATAAATGAAATAAATTCCAGATTTTTTACCATCATAATCTGCAGCGTTGACATTAAATTTTGTGATTGATATTTTAAATTTTCAGCGGAAATAAATGAAATAAATTCCAGATTTTTTACCATCATCATCTGCAGCGTTCACATTAAATTTTGCGATCGATATTTGAAATTTTCAGCAGAAATAAATGAAATAAATGAAATAAATTCCAGATTTTTTACCATCATCATCCTCATCATAGTCTGCAGTGCTGACATTAAATTTTGTGATCGATATTTTAAATTTTCACATTAAATTTTGTGATCGATATTTTAAATTTTCAGCAGAAATAAAAGAAATAAATTACAGATTTTTTACCATCATCATCTGCAGCGTCGACATTAAATTTTGTGATTGATATTTTAAATTTTTGGCAGGAATAAATGAAATAAATTCCAGATTTTTTTACCATCATCATCATCTGCAGCGTTGACATTAAATTTTGTGATCAATATTTTAAATTTTCGGCAGAAATATATGAAATAAATTCCAGATTTTTTACCAAATAAATGAAATAAATTCCAGATTTTTTACCATCATCATCCTCATCATCATCTGCAGCGTTGACATTAAATTTTACTATTGATATTTTAAATTTTCAGCGGAAATAAATGAAATAAATTCCAGATTTTTTACCAA